AAGCAGAAAAAGACGCAAACTGGCTTGTACGAAGAGGAATAACAAATAGTAATAAATAACGAGATGGCTCGTCCCTTCTTATAATAGAAATTTACTGTTGTATATGCCGACATCGTGATGAATTGTTCGACGTGCTATAAATCAATAGAATGAAGATGTTTGTAATAATGCAGTGCTAATGCTATTCAGAATTGTATTTTAATTAATCTTGCGATTTCACGCTGTCTAAAGAGGCTGGGATAACAAAAGACGGTTAAATAATAAATGAATAGTTTTTTTTTCTAACACATGCAAATGCACTAATCCGTATACTATACAGAGTGTCTCTTTCAAAAAGAACATTTAAGAGACTTCCCGGTAAAAAAATACAACATCCTCCTTTAATTTTTCATCCGATTTTCATTTGTTTACCAGTTTATAGATCGGTTAATTGTAATTGTTTCATATTATTCCAATAGTTAACTTTTTTTTGTTAGGTTTTGTACAGGGTCTCTCAAATTCGAGCCTCGTCATTGGGATCTCGGTAACTAGAAGAGGTACTTGGTTAAATGGAGGCAACGGTGGCATTTCGTTGGCAATCACTGCAATCAGCTTTAAATTGCGCAAACCGAATTACTACCTTTAAAGTTGAAAAATTCCGAATACTTTCGAACGTTTTTGGAAAAAACGAATATTCGCGATTTTATTTTTTTTCTATTTGAATAAATATATCAAAATCAATTTTACATTTTCATTACTTCTCTTTTATTGTTCTACAAGATGGTGTTATCAGATTTTCAAAAAATTTTAATAATTAAATAAAAAAGGCTGAAAACACTTTTTTTATTTGAAACTAGCGAATAATATTTACTAATATCTAGAATTATAAAGTGATCAGAAAGGAAGCCAAAAATGCAATAATATACAGGGTGTTCGATTTAAAAAGATCATCCCGATCCATTCCCTTTTTCGAGTAACCGTATAGAAGCTAAAATATTTTCCTAAAATACATCCTAATACATACTTTAGGTTGGCACTTATACAAAATTCCTAAGTTTTTTATTATAGGAGCTACAGATGCTTGACGCACTGTTGTCGGGCCCGTAGGGAAAATGTTGAACCGTGGCAACCCCTATTTGAAGCAATTTTTTGATAGGCACCGTTATAACATTATGCGCAGAATAAAAATAACTTTAATTTGACATATAAATGATCACATATTTTAATGAGCGTAAAGTCGCCAAAATCAGGTATTACTTACTAGCGTAATAATCCTGCAGTCAGATCCTTTACTATCACTGTAACCTTGCTGCGGGAAATGAAAATTCAGGGAAGCAATTTCTTGGAAGAGCAATGTAAAGATCAATGTTGGGGCTGTCTCTGAGAGAAAAAGTACCAAATATCGAAGTACGGGGGGGCAGAACAAAAGTCATTGATGCCATAGAGAAAATAATTACTTTGAAATGGAATTGGGCTGGGCACATTGCAAGGCTAAACGATGACCGATGGACGAAGAAAATGATAGAATGGAGACCAAGACACGGTGCATTCAGGAGTAGAAGCCGTCCTCCAACCAGATGGCATGACGACTTAAGGCGTATCCACAGTAACTGGATGCAAATAGCTCAAGATAGAGAGTTATGGAAGCAAACGAGGGAGGCCTACGGACTTTAGTGGCTGGTTGATGATGATGATGATTAATTTCTTGGTTTTATTTACAAAATGTTTGAAATCATAGACTTAAAAAAAATATGTTTGAAGTCTATGTTTAAAATACATCAAGAACTACAGCAAACAGATTGTAAACAAAATTATCTTCTCCAATTTTATCCCAGGATGTTTAAAAAAATTGCGTCAAAAAATAATAACCAATAACCAAATACTTAATCTCAAAGAAAATTCCCTTCTTTTAGATTTTTTTAACAATCCAACAGATAAGTACCATTATAAGTTTAAAAATGAATCTGTTTAGAGTAGAAGTTTGGTATGTTATTTTAAAGATTTTTTTCCTCTCTTTAGGGGGTATATTCTTAAGGACGCCGCTTAACAGGATATTGTTGATTACTTAATAATATCTCCCAGACGTTTACTGACGAAAGTGGATACTTAAAGCCACTTCTATTTTTGTTTGCCCGCCTTTCCCCATTCCAGATGTTAGCGGTGTAACGTTTCCAATACTAACCGCTATTGATCATTTTTTAGCAAGAACTCATTAGTAACTTTCTTGTTGTGCAATAAGAAATTTTAAATTGTAATCATATCATAAGTTAATGTCTATACTTTTGTGGCGGGTATATTTTTTGAACAGAATTTTGGGTATTTCGCCTCTAGAAGAAAATCTACAAAATATTTTTTTTAAATACCACTGCATTGACAACAATTTGTCAGTGGTATTTTACTAGTGAAACAAATGCTTAACGTTTCAGGAGGTATATATTCCGTCGTAAGAAGCCAAAAAACACAAAGAATAAACAAAAAAAATATTTAAAATATCTAAATACAACTATTAAAGAAGACTTTATTTTTTTTAACAGAAACATTTATTATAACGTCCAGCTAATATTACATGAAGAAAACATGTTAAATTATATGAAGTCAAACTATAAACGCACAATTACAACCTGATATCAATCACTTAATAAGGTAAAACCAAAGAGCTTCAAATTACAACCTGACATCAAACACTTAATAAGGTAAAACCAAAAAGCTTCAAATTTTCTGTATATGATTATTTTTAGTTTGTTATCAAATTTTACTTATTTTACTTAGCCGCATACATTACTAACATCTACAGATAATAATAATAATAATAGTAAGCTATTGAATGATATCACACCACTGACAAATAACGACCTCATTAGAAAGGTACTTTTAAACTTTGGTACATGGTATTCATTTCTTGTTCTCAAATTATATGACATCATGTCCCCTCTTTTAACCAACTGTTCCTTTAAAAATATCGGTGTCAAGTCATTTAGAATTAGCTTCCAAGACTAATTAAATGTTTAGGAAGCCAAGCTCACAACACATAACTCGAACTGGGGCATATTTGTTACAACCCAATAATATTCTCATTGCCCTATTTCGTAATATCTGTATTCTGTGTATATCTTCTTTGTTACAATAGCTCAACAAAGATATATAGTACGAAAACTGAGGATATATTATTGAGTTGTACACCATCCGTTTTGACCATCCCGACAGTAGAGACGATATCGTATTAAAGTACCCAATTTTTTTGCCTAATTTCCTACACATGTAATTTACGTGATGAGATAACTTTAACTGAGGGTCTAACTGTATACCTAAATATTTAAATATATCTACTTGTTCAATATTTACAGATTCGATAATAATATCGTAATATTAAAATTCAACTCTTTAAATAATTTACAATTGTGTTGGGAACCAGAAACCATAAATTTCGTTTTATCCGCATTTACTTTTAATTTTTTAAATTTCAACCAATTGTCAAGCTTTTTTTGTTCGGAGTTAATAATATTTACCACTTCCAGATAATTCTCTTCACTTCACTTTAAGTATTTTGGCAGAATTGCTGACTCCAAAGAACTATTCACGATATGTAGTAATGGATATCCTATTACATTATAGAGTTTTTTCATTAGTTTTGCACATATTATTTCATCACCATATGCCTTATTTTTTAATTTCTCGATAGTTCTTAACTTATTTAATGTAATTTTTTCAAACCTGTTAAAACTGCTATGAATCTCAAACGTAGCCTCTTTAAAATCATTATCTGGGTTGGGGATGCTACTAGTTATTTCATGTACACTGTCTACAAAGTATCTATTTAAAAAGCCTGGTAAATTGTTATGAGGTATATTTTCAATAAACGAGAGCTCTACTTTTTTGGCTCCTTTATTTACTATTTTCTTTAAAATTTGCCACACAGTTTTGCTATCGTGTCGGTTTTCATAATATTTTCTTTCATGGTATTGTTTTTCTTTCTTTTTAATCAATAGTATTGTTTTTCTTTCTTGTTAATAGATGCCTGAGCAATACATTTATTTTTTTAAACAAAAGATCAAAAAGAACGGAAATATTGGGCAAAACCTACAGTAAGATTAGCCATGAAAACATGACTAAAATATGACTACCTGTAGACACTATTGATTCTGCTTTCCGTCTTCATCTAAAAAAATAACCTCCCGTATTGATTCTCCCTTCCGATTCCGGCTTTATCAATACGGGAGGAATCAGCAACGATGAACTAGTGATCCTGAAAAAAGAAAAAGGGAAGCAAACGATGCACGAGGCACCATTTGCAACTTTGTTAAGCAGTAGCTCACAATTCGCGAGCGTTACCACCGAAAAACCGCTGCGGAGGTACTCCAACATACCTCGCTGCTGTCACCTTGGCCCAGAGTAAACAATAAACAAAGGATATTATCGTGGGGACTGTAATAAAAAAGAACCAATCCAATGGTCGCCAGTGTAAAAGTTAATAATGTAATAATCATATTTATATTTTATTTTGTATATCACATTTTTCGTTTGTTATTCACTTTTTGTTGGCTTAGTGTGGGATAAAATGGATCTAAATAAATTTTGTCTTTTGCAGAGTGTTCAAATGTTATATTGTTGATTGTTGTCCTAACTTTATTTTTTTCTGAAACGCATCGTACGTATGGAATTGTAAGTTGTTTTAGGGGAATGTTTTGTGGGAAACTCTAAACTCTCACTATAGTGAAGATATGATGTCACATATAAACTGTCACTAGTATCACTCGATATAAGGCCTATCGAGTTGCTGTCGAAAATGTGCATTTTGATAAATTACATTTTGAGCTCTCTATTTGATATTCTCTTACACTTTGAACTCTACTTTTGAAGTTATTAAAAACAGTTAAATGGTGGTTAGTAAAATATTTTTGTGTTGTTACCACCGAGAGATATTTAAACTTTAATACTAAACAAAAAAAATTATGTCCTAAAATTCTTATAAGTAGGTATGTAATATTTCTTCAGAAATAATTATTTTTTTTTTGTTGTTGCAGGTTCCATACTGCTTAGCCCGGGCCCTGTACGACAACGTACCGGACACACCGGACGAGTTGGCGTTTCAAAAAGGAGATACCCTGGTGGTTCTAGAGCAGAACACGAGCAATTTCGTAGGATGGTGGTTATGTTCGCTTCACGGACGACAGGTACTAATTTATTTTACATAAAACCTGTAAAAGTTTACTCTTACTGCTCTTACACGTATGTTACGCTTCACTTTATGCGTTTTATCTGTTTATTTTGGATTTACTTAGTGCGGTAGTACCGATAGTACTCGTATACTTTTTATAACTTGAAATTAAAGTAGAATGTGGTATTATAGAGTTGTTCATTAGATGTGGGTATAAACTCACGCAAGTATAATTAGAGTGGTTCGAAATACCAGGCAATCTTCGTCATTGTGACGTTTGAAATGACGATTGGTGGTAATTTCTGTGGATCCGACTCCTGTATATCTTTTAATAATAAGAACTTGTAAAATTAATATTTAAATTCGTTTTCCATAATAACGTGATACTACTAATCAAAACGAGATGAGAAATACGGGTGTTTTCTACGATGTTCTCTATGGGTATCTCGGAAACTACTGGAGATAGGGTAGGTTAAATGGGGAAAGAGTTGCAGTTTTATGGGGTCATAATATGCGTCTTTCAGATTTTTGGCTTATTTGATATTTCGAAAAAAAAAAACAAATTTCGGTTATTTTAAAAATTGTCTTTAATTCCATTATAATCTATTTTAGACAAAAAAATTTCAGATAAAAGTTGTAGATAATTACATCCTTAATGAGATCGTATTCTCCGTTTTTTTTCTAAATCTTGTCATTTTTATATGACACAAACATACGTTTTTTTAAATGGAAACCGTAGTTGGCCATGGCTTCATAAAAAGCGCCATTTTTAAGCTTTCCAGCGATATAAGCTATATAACATGTTTTTTTTTCGAAAAACTACTGAGTTATAGCCAATTCTTATCTTTCTTGACTTATTTCACTTAGTTGGTATGGTACTCTTATTTTGTTATGATTTATAACTTATAAAACGACAGAATATTTTATTAAATGGTTCAACAACAAACTAAAACTTAAAAAACTAATATCACTTCATACACTTTTAAGTTATTTTAGAAAATGATCAAAAAATCCGCCATTGTTTTGAGTATCTAAAATGCAACTTTTTAAAACTGAATTACTAGTTTTTCTCACAGAACAACCGGTCGACTTTATTAAACTTCTCCCGTACCGCCTCTTCGGGTGCCTCACTTAATTCATTAGTTCTTTTATAAACCTTGTTGTTAACCATACCGCATAAAAAAATGTAAAATGGATAGTAGGTCAGGTGATCGAGGAGGCTCATGCAATTGGTCCACCTCTTCCTATCCCTGAGTTTGCATAATTATGATATAAATCAATTCTAACATTTGTTTCATTGTGGGGAGGGGGGAGTGTCATAATGAAAGTCATTGAAGTCATGTTGGAACCACTCTATTGATGCGCGAGTCTCTAAATTTAACTTAACATGTCTTGAAAACCGTTCCCTAAAGCGTAAGTAACGTTCACCGGTCAACGTATCCTCGAAAATATATGGACAGAAAAGTTGAACCAATAATCCTACACGCTTTTCTTCATTTGAAAAATTCATATTTACAATTTTTGTTTATTTTAATTTACAACGTTTGTATGTGACAGTTTGACATTTCTGAGAGCAACGACGATTGAACTTAGTGAAATTGTTCAAAAATTATAAGAATTGGCTATAACTCCAAATTAGTAATTTAAAAAAAAGTAAATTTTCGAAAAAAAAAACACATTATAGCTTATATCACTGAAAAGCTTAAAAAATATCGCTTTTTATGAAGTCATGGTCAACTATGGTTTCCATTAAAAAAACATGTCTGTAACATATATATGTCAAAAATGACAAGCTTTAGGAAAAAGAAACGGAGAACACAATCTCATTAAGGATGTGATTATATACAACTTTTATCTGAAAACTTTTTGTCTAAAATAGATTATAATGGAATTAGGGGCAATTTTTACAATATCCGAAATTTGTTTTTTCGAAATATCTAGTAAGCCATGAACTTTCATCAATCATGACTTGGTCAATTTTCATGGCGTTGGTCGATGGAATGACTTTATAGTCTTAGTGGCTTGATGATGAGACGTAACAGTCTTGAAACTAGTCGCTCTCATATTATGTAATAAAAATAATATACCTATGATTGTGAGTAATTGAGTTTTTCATTTCCTCATTTGACGATGCCAGTCACAGTGGATGAATGGACGTTTTTTAGATGACAGCCAAAGAAATTGGCATGAATGAATTAACATAAAATTTTCTATGGATAATTTATTCAAGTCACTAATAATCCTAAAATCCTCTAAGACAGAGTATTGCCAGCTATTTCGATCATTGTTGATTGCTCGAATTATTGAATCTCCAATACACAATAATCATTTATCACAAAATATCATTATGATTTTTTTCTTAACGCATTCTTCCCTTTTGTTCGAATTGAAATGGTACGTCGACAGCATCCGTAATTTACGAGCTGCAGTTATTTGTACAGTAACAAATGCCACGACGAGTTTAAAACGTAAATTTACTTTGGCCAAGCGGTACCGATCAAAAGAAACGCAACACATTTTTAACGAAAATATATAACGACAGCGGATGTGTAAATCAGACGCGAAATTTTCTCTCAAAAGTTTGTTTTGTTTCTTCGGCATGGATTACCAATTAGGCAGACGGTAGTTCTTTTTTGGTTGAAAAAATAAACCATTTTTAGCAGCAGAATGTGGAAAACTTTTACAGCTTTAATTATACGGTTGGAATCTCAATAATTAATTAATAATTGCCCGCGAATCTCAATTAATATAAAAAAAATCGGCTCCACAAATGGCCTGGAAATGAAGAGAGAGAAAGCTGTCATTTTGTATGTAAAATTATATGGCGAATGTCATCGGTCGTCACTTCTAACCCAAATTGACAGAGTTTACTTTAGATCATAAAGTATTAAATATGTGTATGTTTTTCCTTACATAAAAGGTGTCTCTGGGAAAATGCGAAAAATGGAATGGAAGATCCTAAATACTAGAAATAACACGACTAATAGCACAGTTTATTAAGTTAATGTTCGGTGCCACTAGAAATTAGATTTAAGGATCACTACATTAAGCCACCGAATCATCGAAAAAAAAACGGCTTCCAGTTGGCTTGGAAATGATGAGAAAATAAAAAGCGGGAAGCTCCAGGCCCGGACGAAGTTGTAAAATTTATCATCCGAAATAACTCGCAATACTTTTTGGAGATAATTAATAAACATTTATATAAATGATAATGAATTTTCTGACGTTTAGGAAAGTTTCAAATTAATCCTTTTAGACAAGCCCAAAAATATGAACACAGAAGAAATTAAATGCCATCCAATACCTGCCAATAATTCCCGATTAACGCAACCGCCAAAGTGTATGAAAACAAATTATACAGAATAGACTAATGGAAGAAATACAAAATAAATGTGAGTTTAATCATAACCAGTTTGGATTCAGAAAAAAAGGCACATCAATAAAAAATGCAGTTGTAACAAAGTTCTTGTAACAAAGACTGTCAAGGAGAAACCCGAATAATTGCACGCTGATTCTAATGGATGTGCGAAATGCATTTAGTATGGCAGCATAGCTTATAATATTGTCAAAGTTAGCAAGAAGAAGCATCTGCCCATACCTTATAAATATTATAGGCCCTATTTTGTTTCTGGTGTTTATCAACGACATTGCAAATCTAGACATTAGTGCATCTTTGCGGACGATACTAGTTTCACTTGAAGCGGCCGATATGTTACGTCACTATATAATACTATATCCAGTGACTTTATGCACCACCGAATCTTGGTGCGATTCTAATGTCCTATGCCTCAACCTATCGAAAACTAAAGTTTTGTCATATAAATACTATACAACCTTTTGTACTTAATAACACCACTATTGACTCCGTGAAATTAGGATTTGTTGTAGACAACTCGTTAAAATGGGCCTTGCACATCGAAGCTTTATCAAAGAAACTAAGCGCTGCGCTGCCTGTTTTGCGCTAAGATCAGTTTCTAAGGGACTTAACTTATCAACTATAGTCTATTATGCCCTTATTTAAACTATCAGTCTATTATGCCCTTATTATAACTATCAGTCTATTATGCCCTTTTTGAGTTGCATCTTCGTTATGCTCTTCCATTCTGGGGTACTTGCTGGGCGACAAAATTTGATCGTATATTTAAACTTCAAAATAGAGCAGTTCGATATTTATTGGGACTGAACAGTAGAACTCACTGCCAGAATTTCTTTAAAATTTTCAAAATACTGACTCTTCCTTGTTTATTCATTTTGGAATCCATTTGCTTAATCCGCACTATTAGCACTAGCATTTATTTTTAAGTATCAGCAGATGCTAGAAGCAAATACTGATATTTATATTAATAACTAAATGCTAATACTAATAAGTATGTGCTTAATCCTAGTCAGTATCTACTAAAATCGCAGAGTTATTTGGGTTCCATTTTTTAAAGAACTGATCATATCAATACATGAAAAGTAAACATTCAAGAATTTTTAACAACAACCGAGCAAATAAACGTCTTTCTGCATCTGAAAATGTCGGACTCCGAGACTAGTGAAAATTGAATTCCAGTGTGCAAGAAAAACCAAATTCGGAACCAGAATTTGTTGCAAATTTTGTGAAAGAACACGTAATTATAATAAAAAAATATATAAATATAAAACACCCTCAATCACCCAGTGGAAAAATTCTGCATTGCAGTTGTTAGGGGAAGAATTTCAAAGTAAGTGATATTTTATTATAATAGCGATCATTTTCACTTAATCGTATTAAATTAAAATATAAGTAAAGTCAATTAATTGTGATAATTTAATATCCCCACCCCACATGTCTTAGATTCAATAAGACTTTACAAATTTGACAGTGTTGGATACCGTAGGTTGACTAATACCAATATCTTCAGCCATGCCTATCGGGAAACCCAATTCATCACTTATTATAATTCTAAACCTTTGATAAATATTGTAGAAACTCACCAGGATCGGAAATATATCTTAAAAACGTTTTCATCTTTGTTACTGGGTCTAAAGCAC